TAAAAGATCTCGATAAGACTTGAAGCATGAGGCATCTGTAATTATTTAAAATTTATTAAATATAGATTTATAAAATGATTCGGATTATATTAAATTCATGAATATATTAGTCCAAATAAATATTATGGATTAATATACTTGAGTTAATTATTTAACTCCAATAAATATGGATTTAATTAAAGTTCAAATCAATTGATCATTTGAGCTATAATAGATGAGCCCAGTTTGCTAAGCACAATGTCATCTCATCTTAGAGGCCTATTTTGGTGCCACGTTACAAATGGCGTGGCATGCCAAGTCAAACAAAGAAGCCAATAGGATCATGCCATGTGTCTAAATGACAAGCCCACTTTGTAAAACCCACTATGTCATGTCACTTAAATCTGATTGGCCAAAGTAAAACATGTTCCTATCACTACTCATCTATTCCACAACTATAAATAGAAGTCCTCATAATTCATAAAAGAGACCAAGAATTCTAACAAGAAGCTAGAGAAAGCTCGTGGATCAAAACCCACAAATTTCTCTACAAGCTACAAGAATTCAAAAATTCAAACTTTCAAGTTCAAGAACGATCAAGATCAAGACCACCGGATTCAAGAAAAAGCTCGAAGCTGTTGAATTCAAGTAAAAGTCAAGATCAAGATAAAGTTCAAGTTCATTGAAGATTCAAGAACAAGCTCCAAAACCCTTGAATTCAAGATCAAGATCATTAAGTTTAAGACCATATCAATTTCATCAAATCCACAAATCAAGATCTAGTTCATCGAAGATTCAAGAACAAGCTCCAAGGCCCTTGAATCAAAGAATAAGTTCAAGATCAAGATCATCAAGTTCAAGTCCATATTAAGTTCATCAATCCACAAATTAAGAACAAGATTACAAGATTCAAGAACAAGTTCCAAAGACTTTGAATCTACGATCATGTTCAACAATAAATTCAAGATCAAGTTCAAGAGCTCTTGAATTATATCTGAAAAGACGAATCAGAGGAATCATAACACTCATATTCTGAAATCGATAAATATGATTTTTGCATTACTTTTCCCATCTTGATTACTATTTTCTCGACGCAAATTTTATTGTCTACACTACCATTACCATTTTTTGATTAGTACTGGAAATAATATTGCAGTTCACCATATCGTTTTTGAATGAAACACATTCACATGCAAGCATTAACACTTGTGTATCAATTGTATCATCCGCATTAATATCGACCCCTTCTCCTTGAAGATTTATTTCAAACAAATCCCCATCTTTCGCTAATACAGTTACACACAGTGAATACTTTGTCAAACTTCTATTATCTTTCTTTAATGACACGTACACTCTTGCACCTATCTCATTGTATATTTTCAAAGGTGTGTCGCCACCTTCAATCTTATACTTCAGCTTCATATATTTGTATCTCAAATCAATATCAATTTGTTTACCAACTTCCTCCACTAAATCTCTATACGTTGCATACTCCTTCAATATAATGACCTCTATCGTGTAATCAACATAGCAAATAATTTTGTCCCATCTTTTTGAATGCATGATCAAAAAACTAATGTTTTCCATTATTCAACAAATTAAAATCATCATTATTCAATTTTACAAATTGTAATCTAAATCAATTTGTATTAAAAAAATGTACTCAAAAGTTAGTTTGTTACAAACCATCTAAATTGTATCCCACTATACAGTTTGGATTACATCATCTAAATTGTGTTTCAAATAATTTGGTATTCCAAATTACCAAAACAAATTGTATTTCACAACACGTATATTCAATATTCAGTTTGGATCAAATCAATTAACTTGTATTCCAAATAAATTTATATTTAAAATATCCCATAAAAATATTAACAATCAGTTGATCGATCAATAAATTTCAATCATAGTGTATTCGAACCAAATATGTATTATTATAATTATTTGTATTCGAAAACATCTTATATTCAATATACATGCTGGATTGCATCACCTAAATTCTATTCCAAATAATTTAACATACAAATTCACATTCATTCAATCATTTAATATTGTATTTCAAACAAATTTACAATCTAATCAGACAATATACATTATTAACATATTTGTATTTCAAACTTATTTGAATTTCGGCCATTAAATACACACCATCAGATCATCAAATTTGTATATGAATACAAAAATTCGATGAAAACTTTTAAAGAATACTTGATCGATTATGGCTTGAAGAACAATTGTCAGTTAGCTGATTCTGAATTTCACCTAGCTTCTTTGAATAATCCACAATTTTTGCAAGTAAAACAATGTTGAATAATATCAATTTTTTATTGAAAAAAGGATTCTTAGATCTACCAGCGATTTTAAAAAATTTCTACAAAACGATGATGAACTGATTGGATTCTGAATTTCATCAACGACTAAATTTTTCCATCTGGGCGCCTATTCATTCTTTTTTGGGGTGTATAAATTCACGGAGCAATTCAGGCATCTATCTTATTGTATTGATGCAATTGGAAAATCAGGATTTCTCTCTGCCGCTCAAGCGGGATCAGATCGGGCTTTAGCAAGAACAACTGTAATTGATTCGGGAACGGAAAGACTTCACTTCAACTACTAACGATGTTGAGCAATTCATGAAATTGTGATTTTGTATTTTTTGAGGAAGAAAGATGATGAAGTGCACGCTATTTGAGAGTCCTGTATGTAACCAAAAGATTGAGGGAGTAATTTTAATGCCTTTAACAAATGTGAAACATTTACTTCTGTGATTTCCTCTTAATTATTATTTTGTATTTTGTTTTTTTTATATAAAACATGTGGAAAAAATATAAAAATCAGCTCCATAGCAAATCAAAATATAGCTATTTTATTATAAATAGTAAAAGTATAGCTAAAGGGTACTATTTAAGGCTTAACATTTATTGTTGAGAAATTTTTATAAGTGACATATATAAGACTAATTATTATTATTTACGACATTATTCTTTATGTTTCAAGTCTTAACATTAAACAATTACGGGTTATAACATTTGTTAAATTAAAAAAAATGGAATATAAATGAATAGACAAATTAATAATAGTAATCAAAATTAATAATATGAATAAAATCAGGAGAGCCATAACAAAAAAATATTTGTTTTCTTTGCTTAGCTCAAAACAATTACTATTCTTTTCTTTCACGTGTTAATTGTCTATCAATTTCATTTTTTTTTATTAATATTTGTCTCTTTCTCTATCATCGCTAAAAACAGTAGTCGACACTGTCTTCTTTCACGATTTTTTTGTTTTGTTTTCGTTTTATACTGTGATGAAAGGTTTATTATCAATATTAACAAAACATGGTGGTAGATGAGATTCTTTATATAACAATATACCAATTTCTTATCATTATTCTATATAAGTCTATACCAATTTCATACCAAAAGTAAACACTAGTTCATATCAGATTCATACTAAAAGAATATCAATTTCAAAACAATTGTAACTAGTAATTGTGTTTTGTTATATAAATAGTACCAAACGCATACAAGTTTTTTCCCCAATATTTATACTAATTTCATACCAGAAGTAAACACTGATTCATACCAAAAGAATACCAATTTCAAAACAATTGCAACTAGTAATTGTGTTTTGTTATATAAATAGTATATCAAATACATACAGCTTTTTGTCATTATCTATAACAATTTCATACTAACAGTAAACACTGGTTAATACAAGATTCATACCAAAAGGAGTTCTCTATAATTATTATTTTTTGGCTTACAAAATCTAAATCGGAATTTGAATACTCCGATAACAGAGGTTCCACCATTTTCCCTTTCCTCCTCCCCCCTTACAATTTGGAGGAGTGAATGTATTCTTTGATTCTTTTTTCTTCTCCTTAGTTGGGTTTTATTTTTTCTTCAAAGGGGTCACACTCTTCTTCACAGGAGTTGCATTCATCTTGAGCGGCAAAATTTGAGTTAAAATATTAAAACTTGGAGGCTCTATTTCAAGATTAGATATATCTTCTACACATCTCGAACTCTTTCTAGGTGTATGATGAACCTTTTTATTCTTTGGCATATTTGTTAGTGAACCAAAAATTTTGAGTCTTGCTTACAAGATTTGCGGCCGTTTTCATTTGAATGGAGAAAAAGAATAATGGAGAAGTTGGAATAGAATGGAAAGAGAAACGTGTGTATGTGAGACTCTTTTGTAAGATGTAATTGATAATTATCATCTTATTCTTTCTCATAATTTTCCTTTTCTCTCACCTATTAACATTATGTAAATTAATTAATAAAATATAATTAATTAATTTATAAATTAAAATTGATCTGTTAATACTTGGAATTAAAACTTTACAAGTAGTAATAAAAAAATAGATATAAAAATTGTAATATTAACTCTTAAATATATGTGTGGGGTGATTTTTTCTTGTTTATGAAATTTTCCCAAATTTTTATAAAGGAAAAATTACTTGGATGGTACCTTTTAATAAATGATTATTGATTTTAGTGATACTTTTTATTTATTACCATTTATAGTAATACATAGCAATACTATGTTAAATCTGCAATATATATTAAAAGTGAATTATGTATTCAATATATATGTATTATAACTATTTTTTTAAAATATATTATGCGTGTTTGGTAAGAAATCGACACATTATATTACATGTGTATTAAAATGTGTGATAAATGTATTATTCATCAATAAAACTTGTATTATATGTGAATGATAAATTGTTTTTTATAATATGTATTAAAACTGTATTATAAATGTATTAAAAATGATCAAGTGAAAAAAAATATTATTACTATAAATGGTAAATATTTTTTAAATATAGTATATTTATGTAAGTTTCCAAAAAGTAAATATCCCAAAGTTTCTCTACAAAATCTCCCAAAGCATGATGGGATGGCTGGCATAGGCGACAAAATTGACGAGGTAGCTACGCCAGCCGGACCCGACCCGACCAGAATGAGAGGAGCATGGATCCGTGTTTTGACAAAGAGATGATGGTCCGGATAAGGATAGAAAGCCCCACCTTTCGTTTCCCTCTTTTTTATTAGCCATAAACTCACAAACAGGAAGAGTGAAGTGTGTGTGAGAGACCCCTATCCCCTCCCTCACCAGCAACAACAACAATAACTTCATTTCAGTTACACTATAGCTCTCTTGTTTCTTCATATATGCATACAAGCCACCCATTCAAAGGTTTGATTTCTCACCTCAACTTCCTTCTCTGTTTTCATTGGTTTCTTCATTCTAGGAAATTACTTTTAGTTTCTCAAAGTTTCTACTCCTTTCTTTCACTAATTCAGTAATTTTTTCGGCTTCATTTGGAGTGTTTACTTAGTGTGTAGTTGTGCCATAGAAAAACCATAATTGATGGGTAACTCAGTATGATCAATTATATGCACTGAAAACAATCCTCACGTTGTTGATTGAATTTCTTAAGTTCAATGTTGAGCAATGTTAATGGTTCATAGTTGGAATTGTTATATATTCAGCTTCTAAGTTAGAGTTTCTGGTATGATAGTCTGTGGATTTACTTGCTTCTTTGCAAACTACATATATTATGAGATACTGAATTGCATTTGTGCTTTTCAATTCTGAAGGTGTAGAAAGTAGGTATATAATCTTCTTTTTAATGAATTTTTGAATTTTTCTAAACCGCTAGCCTACATGTTATAATCACCTATTTCATTCTTGTTTATGGAATTGCTTATGATGATTTCTTGACCACAATCTTTAAGTTCAAGTGTAATTATTTTTTTTGTTGTTTATTGAGTACTTTTCAATGAATTAGTGGGCACGCGCCTAAATGGCAGACATATGCTACTATCCATCTATTTTCAGCAACTCTAGTACTGGGCTTTGCTGTTTGTTCTATATGTTAATAGTATTTCAGTCATGCTGCAGTTGTTATCCTATCACACTATTATTAAATGATATAGTCATGTTTTTTTCTTTCTCTAACCGTTTTATATATTTCTCAGGTGTGGAACAGATGATCTAATCCTTGTAGTTCACAAACCTTAGCAATCCCAAATATCAATCAACATGGCTCCAATGGTTTCAATTGCAACTACCATTGTATCAGTTACTCCAGGAGCTGTCCTTCTCACAAGAAGGAATCAATGTTTATCAAAATACAATGTTTCACGAAAATCCAGCAAGCAGACTTTACCTACCCCAAAATATATCCTGCCTCTGTCAACATCTATTAAATTGTTTCCCCATTTTAGAGTTGGTTGCATTTTACGACCTAAATTAAGAGGTCTTGTAGTATCAGCAACTGAGACTGATGTAGCAGTGGAAGAAGTAGAAGCAACTGCTACAGATGATGGATCAGGTGAAGTCTCAGAAGCTTCATCTGATGCTGCTGAAACAAGTCAAGAATCCTCCATATCAGATGTGAGTCCTACATCTGTTCAATCTAAGCGTTCAAGACCTGCTAGAAAGAGTGAGATGCCTCCTGTGAAGAATGAAAACCTTATTCCAGGTGCAACTTTTACTGGAAAGGTCAGATCGATACAGCCATTTGGTGCTTTTATTGATTTTGGAGCTTTTACGGATGGACTGGTGCATGTTTCTAGGTTGAGTGATAGTTTTGTAAAGGATGTAGGAAGCATTGTATCTGTTGGACAAGAGGTTACAGTGAGATTAGTTGAAGCAAACACTGAGACAGGGCGCATATCTCTCACCATGCGTGAAAGTGATGATCCTAGTAGGCCACAGCAACAGAAAGATACTCCAACCAGTAGCGACAGACCCCGAACTCAAAGGAAGAGCACACAAAGGAACAACCAAAGGAGAGATGAGAAAGTCTCAAAGTTTGTCAAGGGGCAAGATCTTGAGGGCACTGTAAAAAATCTAACCAGGTCTGGTGCTTTTATATCTCTTCCTGAGGGAGAGGAAGGATTCCTGCCAGCATCAGAGGAAACTGATGAAGTGTTTGGAATTATTGACAGTGGCTCTTCACTACAAGTAGGCCAAGAAGTTAATGTCCGTGTATTGCGCATTGCCAGAGGACAAGTAACTTTGACCATGAAAAAAGAAGAAGCTGCTTCAGAGTTGGACTCAAAGCTCAACCAGGGTGTTGTCCATTCGGCGACAAACCCCTTTTTATTGGCTTTCCGTAGCAACAAAGAGATCTCTTCATTTTTGGATGAGAGGGAAAAAGAAGACGAACTAGCTGAACAATCAAAGGAAGATGCACAGGAATCAGATGTGGCGACTAATAAAATGGATGTGTTGCCTGAAACTACTAGCAAAGAGGAAGAATCAGTCAATGCTGCAAATGATGGTGTTCCAGAAACTATAAATGGGGAGGATACGAAACAAAACGTTGATGAAGAAGTGGAGTCAGCTCCTGAAGGAAGCACATCCACGATTGGTCAGCAAGCTGAGGTGTCACCTGTAGGAGATGCTGAGGAAACTGAAGCTGAAACTGGCTCATATGAGCAAGCAGCTGATCAGATCTCAGCATCTGAAACTGTGGTGGGCGAGGAGGTCGTGGAGAAACTAACTGATGATAATATAGTGGAAAATGAGGTTGCAACTGAAATACCAAGTGTCATAGAGGCTGTCAAAGAAACAGAGGAAACCAGTGCCGATGAGAATGATAGTATATCAAGCCCAACTGGGCAATCTGAAGCTCCTTTGGAGAATAGCAAGGATGAAGGTGTCTAATAAGAAACTTTCCAGTCTCCCCTCTGATTTATTACATCCTTTCATTCTCGCTTGCATATTTATGACAAACAACTAGATACAACTATTTCAATGTTTAGACAATTGCGTTATCCAAATAAGGTGTTGATGCATGGTATAAATACACTTTACACATTATCTGAGGAACAGTGTTATCAAAGGCGCACTTAAGCCCTGAAACGAGGCTCAAAACATGTTTGAGCGCTTCCCCTCGCTTAATGTGCGCTTCAGTGTCGTCATAAAGCTCTAAGACATACTTTTCCTTGTGAATGAGCATTTCCTGAAGAGGCGACGCTAAACCATTGATATTTCACTTTATCGTAAAAATAATCAATTTCTTTGTCCATATATTTGTTATTCATGCTTATAACTGTTAGTCTTGGACTAAACATATATATATATATATGTTTTCTCCATTGGCTCCTCTTCTCAGTAAAACCCACGCTTTATTTGCACATTGCACTTCAAGCCCAAACGAACCTTAGAGTTTTTTTTGCGCTTTCTGATTTTGATAACACTGCTGAGGAAGAGATGAATGGTAATGATATGAACCAATCTAAGCAAAGACACTTTAGTATAGTTCATGTTGACAATTTGGTATATCCTTCTTCTGTTTCTTCTTCTGATTGCATCTTGTTCAACATACACAGTCTTCAGTTTAATAAATGGAGAGCTTTCTGGTGACCAAGACATGTTCTTTTATTTTGATTGAAATAACGACAGGATGATATTCTTGCTCTGTGTGAACTCTTGAAATTTACTTTTAGGACATAGTGTTGTGTTAGGTGAGAAAGATAAATTAAGGATGAGTCACCAATAAACTCGCTGACAATCCAATTTTGTACACAGAAAGTCAGGAAGGTGCTGGAGTTTTAGACACTCAAGTTGAAAGTGCTCCTTCCATAGGGGAACAGTCATCTGATACTGCTGCTCAACAGGAAGAGGGTTCTCCCAATACTGATCAAGATATTGTGAACTCAAGTGAACAAAATGGGACTGCTTCATCAAATGAAGCCGCAGCAAAAGGTTTTGCTTTTATTTCCCTTTCTTTTCTGGGATATTTCTGCTATTAACTTGTTAAAAAGGAAATAACAGTCCTTGCAATAAAATTTGCAGATCTAGTTGCCAAACATTTGTTTTAGTTGGTAGTAAGGGTGTACATAGGTCGGTTTGGTTTGGTTTTTCATTAAAAAAAACCTAAACCAATTATGTTGGTTTATTAAATCTAAAAATCAAATCAAACCACGCAAAGTTGGTTTTTTTGGTTTCGGTTTTAGTCGGTTCTTTCAGTTTTTTTTCGATTTTTCGGTTTTTTCGGTTTTTACAACTATACGGTGTTTGAAAAAGAGATCAAATATATTTTCACTTATCTGTGTGATAAGCTAAACTTAAGAAATGTTAAATGAATAGAAATTTTCGTAAACACGGTAAAATTAACATGAGTACAAATTATTATTTTTTTGAAATATCAACGTTCATTATGTTAAATTAATAAGATTAAAGGATACAATCAAACTAAATACAAAATGAAATATTTACAAAGTAAATTATTG